ATTTGCTTGGTGGGTTGGCCGTGCCAATGAAAAGCATCTTTACTGGGGAGGATCTCTTCCGGGCATCCAACAGTGTGCATGTGGACTGGAAGAAAGTTGTCTGGATATGAGATATTTTTGCAACTGTGACGCAGATAGAGAAGAATGGTAATAATTTTAACATTTGTATAGTAGTGTCTGTGTGATAGCTGGGGATAGGAAGTAGGGCAAGAAGGATCAAATCTTTTCCTGATTCACAGCTGAGGAAGGTTGAACAGCTTGAGTATGATCAAATGGGAATTAAAAGTCAAACTAGAATTTGGACTTCTGATTTCTTCTTAAATTTTTTATTTGAACCAAAGGCAAGGTATCTGTATGAAGCAGTTGCTGGGATGGGTTTTCTTCCACAAGTCTTTGTTGTGGAATGCCAAATCCAGTCGTTTTCTTTGTTTAAAAATTTCCATTGGTTCAATTGGATCATTGCATGAATCAAGGCTCTAGGAGGTTTGTGCATGGGTATACATCAGAGCAGAAGGTGTAGACAGCAAAATTCAGGTACAGGCAGCTGAAAAAGAAATCTGTGCTATCAAAAAGACTTGTATTTTTCTTATGAAACGGTATATCTATATGTGCCTTAACTTTCTTTTGTATTGGGTCCCAAGCTTTTTAAAGTCAATGGAAAGACTTCCTTTGCCTTCTGCAGGTCTTTGTTCAGTCTCCATAGGCAGTTTTAGACTTACGGCATGAACATTCAAAGCCTTTTCGTGGGTTCAGACCTTTGTTGTGCCTTGATGCCAAGTGAATTTTTGAAGGCCACCTCACAACCTTCTCCCATTCTCTGCATATTCACAGACTTTCCAGTAGCAGATAGCTAGTTGGTGAACTCTCCAGTTAATTCTGTACTTGTATTGGAGGGAACAGAAATGTCAGATGAGTGTTGTTGAAAGCACAGTTTGAAACACTGAAAATACATGTGAAATCTCTGCTTCACCCTCTCTTCTTTCTGGACCACTCACTGATAGGAGCTGCTGCCCTTCCTCTAAACAAAAAAGATATTTTAACCTTGAGTAGTTCAGGAATTACAAATAATGTAAGTAGACAAGAAATGTCTTGCTGTAATAGGCTACTGTGTTTAAAATAATGTCTAACTTATCCCTGTGAAACCTTGACTTAAAAGAGAGTGAGTGGAAAGTGGTCGGGGGGGATCAGAAATGACTTGTTCACTGTAACTGTTGGGGTTTTTTGGTTGCTCAGTTTCCAGACAGTGTGATTATTCACTCGGACCCTTTATATCCTTAGGGTCACTATTCACTTTCAAAAATCATAGCTGTAAGGGGATTTCTTAGGAAAGATCTTTATGTAAATGTTGGTTTATGAATGTGATTTGATAGATTGGCATAGAAAGGCATGGCTGTGCATGTTAATCTATTTTTTCTTTAATGCTTGGTTATCAGAAGCACTTTGGTGAGGTTTGCACATGAGCATCGAAAGCATCTGTTTTTACTGGCGCTTGGCTCTGTTCATAATCCACATTTCACTTTTCGGTGAGCTGCTACTCCAGCAGAGAAGGGTGTGTTATGCTGGCCGACCACTGGGGTGGTAGTCTGAGGCTGCAGGACAGTGCACCACCAGATTGTACAAACCAATGCAAGGTGAAAGCTAAATGCAGTTTTATGATGCTTCATCTGAGTCTCCTAAAGAAATGAGACCTAAGCGAGTTACTCTGTGGGTTACTCCATTTTTCCATATGTGAACCCAGTGATTTTTAAAAAACAGACACATTTCAAACCTCTCTAGCAGAGAAGCAGAAATCTCAAAAGTATTAGAAATTACACATTCTATGAAAATTTATGCTAGGCTGAGGGGAAAAAGCCAATTAAAACCTACAAGAAGGAAGTTAAGGAAGCTTACACTTTTATTAGATTTTGGAAAACCCTCGTGGGAGAGAGATGTTGGAAATCATGCTTCATTAGATTGGCAGCTCACAGAGCTACTTGTTTCTCCTAATTTCATTATAATAACAGGATATGCATAGAAGTTTCTTCAGCTAAACAGCCTGTGTTTTGTTGGTTTAGGGGTTCAGCTGTTTTGTTTTGGTTTTTAATCCATTTGAAATTTGGACTTCGGTGGTATTCTAAATTGTAGGTTGCCTTTTTAGAAGCTAAAGCCCCCTGACCTTTACAAAGAGTTTCAAAACATAAGAAATTTCATGCCTCTTGAAGATTACTTTTGTGTTTCTCTGCTAGAACACTGACCCCCTGATATATAATGAGCATTTGAATCTGAAATCTGCTGAGATCTGAACTGTGACTTTAACCTGCTATATACATTATACTGGAAGGAGCAAGACAGCAGTAGATGCATTTATTTGCCGTAGCATGAAATAAAATGGGTGCTGCAGAGTGGAAAACCAGAAAATCATTTTCATTCCTTTTAGATAAATCAGGCTACTCACTGCAGCTCCAAGGTGGGACCTCACCAGAATAGCTGGAGCGTCCTTCTGAAGAGGAGACAGGCTTAGGATTTTGCTTTGATTTGGTTTCCCTAGGCTAAGTCTTGGGTGCAGAAGCAGCTACTACTTTCTTAGAGCAGCCAAAAAAAAAAAAAAAAAAAAAAAAACAAGAGAAAACAGACCTGAAAAAAGTCCTGAGCCAGGTGTTTAGCAAAACACAGTATGTGCTTCTAGGCATGCTGACTTTTGAATGATATCTAAGCAGACACCTGCACCAGCTGCTATCTCTGGGCTCTTCAAGTTAGTCCCCTTGGAGTTATGCTGGCCAGATGAACAGAAATATAATTGGATGCATACTACATGGGAAAGGTTTTTGTATTTTTCACCTTTTTTTTAATTAACACATTCTAGTGAAAAGTATCTTTTTCCATCCAGCTTCTCACCATACTTCCAAACTCTGCAGTATGATGACAGCTAATTCAGTCACTGCAGAATAGTGGAGTGTCTTTATGGTATTTGCTGGAGAATGAGAGAAAACCTGCTGAAGGAGCAGAGGGACAAGTTGCCACCCCGACCGAAGCAAGCGATCTGGAAAGATGTTAAATATGACTTGACTCTAGTTTATGCATGCTTCCAGAAAAGGAGAGATTCCTGACTGTTGAAAGCGCTTGCTAGTGGGTGGCAACTTTAATACAAATCCAGTGGCTGCAAGCTGAAACTAAATCTAGTCCAGAAAATGTTTTCTTTCTCTCTCTTCCCCTTCCCCAACACTGAGAATGGTTAACTGTTGGGACAAGTTATTTATAGATGAGACAGATTTGCCATAGCTTCAAGCACTTACCTTCAAAGCGATGGTCTTTCAAAAGATATGCCCTATTTCAAACAGAAGGTGCATTCTTGATGCAAGGTATTATTGGGGAAAGGTGTTAAACTGATCTAAAGAATAAAGCGTTTCTGAAATACAGACAGGGTTGTATTATCTTCAGTCCATTCAAGAGCTCTTTTGGATCCTTAAATACCTCTCACAGGTTGTTTTAATCTCAAACAACATTCTCTTGCCTTGGAAATGAAAGTCTTGCTGCTCACCAATCCTTACACTTAAACAGCAGGACCTCTTTCCAGCCACGGTGGTGCATGACTGTCCTGAAGCCCGTTTGCTACTTTGGTCTCTCTGTCGGGAATCCGTTTTCCACTCTAAATGCAAACACTTGATCGAAGCCAGTCACCAAACCAAACCTATATCTTAGTGACGGCATTCACCTAGAAACCTTGTGAATTTGGAGAACATTACAGCTTTCTATTTAGTACAGAAAACCAGCATCTCCGGAAGTCATTTTGTACAGGACGTTCTGGCGTCTCAGCAGAGTGCGGCGGACAGTGTTGTTTCTAAACAAAAGCCGATTGGCCATCTTTTATTTCTATTCTCCAGTTTTATTATTCAAACTGTAAGAGTATCATCTGCTTTTATCTTCCAGAACAGCCTTCTTCACTGGGGAGCTAAGCCTTTGAGTCTTCCCATTTCCAAAGTAACATGCATTCACCTCTTTACAGTGCCTTTTGGGTACTGCAAGCAGCAAGGAGACCACAGGACGTGAAAAGGGCTCGTGGGGGGGAATATCGCTATTGTCAGACCCGCTTTGGCTCCCACAGATACCCTGAGTATGTCCAGCTTTGCCGAGGAGGAGCAAAGCCCTGTGGAAGCGAATAAAGCCCTCTTTGGAGGAGCTATGTTTGTGCAAAGCTGTGCCAGAGCCAGGATGCTAAAACTGGGAGGGCTGAGGTAAGCAGGGCAGGGAACCCAGCCGCTGCCGAGCCCGGATTTGACGAGTTTGGTTTGCTCAGCCACTGTCCCGCGCGAATGCGTTCCCCCCGCAGAGCCTTGTGAGCTCACAGAGAAACCCTGCCGGAGGAGACCTGGCCTGTATCGAGCTGTCGTGGATATCTGGCTTCGCGACTCCATTTGTCAACTAACTAGAAAAGCTGCCTACAGAGAGCTGACTGTAGCAGGCCCCGAGGTGTCAGGAATCAGTTCGTTACTATCGTTACCGAACTCTTTCTCTGTGCTTCTCTAATTCAGCAAAACAGAGGCACTGCATCTTGCCTTCAGCTATTGGGTATGTCCTCTTCTGCTTCTGTGTTTTTCTTTATCGTGACTCTACCTTACTGTACCCTGTAATGCATTTTTGGATACAGCAGGTGGGTAAGATAGCAGATAAAATGTATTCCTTTGGATTGTTAATGATATGTCTTGTACAGGGCTCAAAACTTTTTCCTTTGGAAGCCTGTTTCACTGGCCCATTCCTCATGCAGTTCGTTGACATCTGCTGATGATAGTATTCTTTTCCCCAAATGTACTGTATTCATGAAAATCTGTACTGAATATCTGAGCTACTGAGGCTCAGACCCCACCACAGTCTTCATTAATGTAGAAGAAGAAAATGTACCGATAGGGGATCATATGAGAAGAAATTATATTTAATGGCACCACTGCTCTACCATCTGTTAGAAAAAAATATGGAAACAGCTACCTAGAGATTACCAATTTATGATAGTTTACACCATTAGGATACAACAGAGTAAGATTTTTTTGAGCGTGCTTTTCTTAGTAGCCAGGAAGAAGAAAAATAGTCTCACAGTGTTACCATCAAAATAGGTTTTTGTCATTTACAGGTAAGAATACCTGTTGTACATATTAAAGTGTCCAGTGGCTGCACTATCAACTTTAGCATTGCTGTACTTGCAGTGACATTTTTTTCTTCTTTTTTTTTCCTTTTCCTCCCTCCCCAATACATAGAGCATTTGTTTGGTGCATAACGTGCCTCATAGCTTATTGAGGAAGGCCTTTGGGTAGATACAGACATTAATCTTCAGACATGGATAAATAGATGACATCCAACTGTATTTAATACTCATAACTAAGAATATTTCAGTGATTTAATTTAAAGGGTATTATTGGATTTGTTTCATTTTGGTTTTGCTTGTGGGAAGTACAAATTAATACTACCCTTTATGCAAATAGCTCAGAGAAACATCTGTTCATTGAGGGTGCTTTCCACCCTCTGAAAAACCATTCAGCTTTTCAGCTGAATTTTTGCCGAATTGAGTGCCAAGTCAGGTAAGCAGGTGGCCTACTTCCCAAGTTTATTAATTTATTTGTACCATTTTCTACGTGTACTAGGGCTTCTTTCAGGAAAGGGATAAAACCTGCTTTGATTTTTGTGAAACCAGGGCTTAACTTACATTCCTGGCCAAACAGCATCACCTCCCAGGACCCTCCTGCAGGCAGGATCTGCCCGTAGTTCTCAATACTGAGAAGCGGATCGCAGCATGGTACAAAAGGCGTGCTCCGTCAAAGTGCTCACAGAGTGCTGTATGAAAACTGCTAAGAGAAAATAAAAGAGTGGTTTTGGCTAACCTGACAAGCAGCTGTGGAAAACCAAATATGATCTGGGTTTACGTGTATGTGAACTGCTAAATTAAAATACATGTAAGTAAAAACTAGCTCTGGGAACAAATACAAAAACAATTAATCTAACAAGGTTTTATCTTTGTTTAAAAGGCAAAATCACATATGTGCACACCATAGCGCAGATGCTTTCTGTCAGAAAGTAGCACTTTTTATTTGAAACTATAGTATGTTAAAAGTTATCCCCAAACTCCCTTCAGGCAAAACTCCAAATGTTTTGTCCAAACCCTGGAATATTTGTATTTTATAGTGCCACAGCAGTGCCTCCAGGAAATTATTGTACAGGCACATGAAGTTCTCTTGCTCCTCTCTGAGGCATAATACGCTACATTTGAGAGGCTGCCATGGTGTACCACGTAAAGAGAAGAGGAATTGTGGCCCTTTGTAAGAAACGGAGTCTGAAATAAGTTCAACTTAGAGAATACCAGGAATTTAAGACACTCAAAACTTCAGCTCCCATGAGGGCCTGCATAGTGTCTTCAAATTTCTTTTCTGCTTTTCTTAGCTGAAACATCTTAGGTGTTGAATTTTCACCGAAAACTTGATTTCCTACCATAAAATATTCATAATAAATTGCGAAAATAGGTATGTTGTTCCTGTCATTAACACATTCTCAGAAGGGTAGAATGTTTTTCTGATAGGTTTTATTTCAGTGTCTGCTTGTATGAGAATACATATCCTTACACAAGTCTTTTTTGTGTGTGTGAGAGAACAAAATACATAAAATGTGCTGTTTGAGGTTGAAGAGGAACTTGATTGAGTTTTCAAGGCATTAACATAAAAGTGAAGATTTTTATTAGTTGTAGAATATTTTTCTTTCTCACAGTTGAGCTATGCTGCTGGAGTTCTCTGTTATACTAGCATATAACTAGTAAAAACTCAAGAGTCATAAAACTTGATATAAAAGAACTTCATGCAATATAACAGAATATCTAATAAGCAATGCACTTCTCAGAGATGTGGAATAGATATCTTCAAAATGTCACCATTTAATTTTTTTTGTAGATATCTTCAGTGGTAGCTGTAGGAAGATACTGATTTTTATTTTAATGCTGATCATAGCTAGTCAAAAGACTGCACTATTTTTTGAATTACAATAAATTTGCAGGAGACCTCCCTAAATATTTTGTGATTTTTTAAATTTTATTTTTAAGAGGCGAATGCCAGCTTAGTTCTTCATGTGTATATTGCATATTTTAGGTTGTCTTTCTGTGCATCTTTCTGCCTTTCTTTCATTATCTTCCTAAGAAATACTCAAATAGTTCAACTTTTGTTATGACTGTTTCATAATCTGTTGAGAGCATTTACCCTAACTTACAAAGATTGATACAATAAGCCATGTAAGTATGCTGCTGACAGACCTCCGTGAAGAGATTTGGAGACCATGTACTTTTGATTCATACATGGTATCTTTCCATCTGAGTCTGCACTGAAGGCAGCCCTCTGCACTCATGCCTGGGAATTTCACCTTGCTGCACTTTGTCGGTAATTATCTCCATGTCAGACACCCACTGAAGCAAGAAAAAAATGTTAGGGTCAGAGAGGGTACCTCTCCTTTTCCCCTTGGAATTATGAGACAATTAACTATGCTGCATGCAATTAGAAACAATGAAAAATAAATTATATGTATGGAGCCTTTATTAAAAAGATCAAAATACCCCTTCTCTTTTTTCTAACATTAATCAGAGTAGAGCACTTAGCCAAGCAAACATCCGAGGCTGTGTCAGAGCACAGCCGCAGTGTTCATCCTGATTATTATTTCTTTGCTCAAGTCCCGTGCCCCTTCCCACAGCTGGAACTATAATGAGAGGTACATTTGTGGAAGGTGGTATTATGAGCAGCATATAGGTAGTCTGGGATCCTTCCTGAGATGTCAGACTCTTCAGCAGTGGTATCGCTCGAAAAGTGATGCCTGTTTCCTGAGGCTTTGTGTCATACCTGCCTGAAAGAGCAGTGGGTGTAAGTTTGGGATTATTGGCGTTTTAGATCCAGTCATTGCTGCTGTCCCCACGTGCAGCATGTAGTCTTTCACCTCTGAGCAGACAGATGAGTTGAGTCCAGACCCTGCCTGCAGATTGCTGGGCCACGCAGACATAGGGATCCTTTTCTCCAAAACTATTGAGATTCAGCTCCACGAAGGACGCTCTGCCAGGCTTATGTGCCCAGATGCACAGCAGACCTCAACCCTGAGAAAAAGAGCTAGGAGAAGAAAAAACGTCACTGCGGAGATAAGATACGGTAGCACTCGCCTCTCTGTAATCAATCGATAGAGAAGTACCTTGAGAGGGTAGTTTGGCTCTGGTAAGGTCAGAGTTGGAGGCCTGAGGGACTCGGTTCCATTCACGAAGTACAGTGGGATGCATGCACGACTGTATACCCTGACGGAGTCAAAGCCACTGAATCAGCTTCGGGACCAGAGGGCTGCCATGAAACACCGTGCTGGATTTTGGGGACAACAATTTGCCCGGACGCTCAGAGTAGATACAAAGAATGGATCCTTTAGGGCTCTTTCTTTCTTTTCCTTTCGAGCAGCTGTGTGTCGGTTAGGCATAGCTGAATTATAAGCCCAGCTGATACAAACAAGAGACTGTACTTTGACAATGCATTAAATCAGCCTTCAGTATTTTAGTTGCTGATCCAAAATTTCCACAGGCGCATAATGCAAAGGGCTGATATAGTGCAAACCCACTCTACCAATTCAACTGTCCTTGCAGTGTGCCGAGTCAGTCGTGTACCAGCCGTCTTGAAGCTGGATCAGGTATTGTCTGGCTGCCCTGTGCTAACAGCATGCTAGATCAGGTATTGCGTGTCCTTCTCCTGCTCTGATAAAGCCTAAAACCGGCATAAACTCTGTTATCTGTCTCCAGCTAACTTAACAGAAATGCAAACTTGGACTTATACCTGATCCACATAGAAGTCATCCTGCTGAGGAAACCCAGTAGAGCCCAGTTTTCGTTAATGCCCATCAGGCAGAATGGCAGCACTCTGCCTCGGCTTCACAGTCACCCTGCACAGCTGAAACACGGTTACAGCCCATACCAGACAGTGTCCTGCGTGCAAATAGAGCATCTTCAGCAGTGGGTGTCATGGACGAGCCTAGAGCACACATGGGCATGTACGTTTCTTAAGCATTGCGTACCGGCCACAAGTCTTCTAGGTAACCCTGCAGAAGACCTTTCATCTTGAAGTAAGCGTCTTTCAAATGTTGCCTTGCATAAGGAACGCTGGGGATTTTGTCTGCGGTTAATCTGTCTCTTTCTGTTTGCTTATTACAATCCAGGACAAATGATACCGGCTTCCTTGCTTTCAAAGACCATTTGCCTGTAACTCAGATAGTGATCACTGATACAAACAGATCAAATTCTGAGGCTGCTTGGAAAATCGGCCCTTTGCGTTGCTATGGAGACAGTGAGTACCAGCTCTTCTCAATTTCCATAGGTACAGAATGTTCCATCTTTCGTTTTGCTTGTTTTTTGTGTTTTTTTTTTTTAAAACGTATTTATCTAATGAAAGGTGGCTTTCCACGTGCAGCTTGTAGCTGCTGTGCTGTGCCAATTAACTATAGACAAGGGGGTTGTGTTTGCAGGGCAGTTCTGGAACGCTGCGTCCTTCAACATGGAGGCCTCCTACCTGCACTTCCCCACCTTCCATGCCGAGGTCAGCGCAGATATCTCTTTCTTCTTCAAAACTACCGCCGTCTCTGGGGTATTCTTGGAAAACCTTGGGATTAAAGACTTCATACGAGTTGAAATAAGCTGTAAGTTTCACTGCCAAGAAATCTTGGTGTATTTGCCAGGGGCAGGGAAGTGGGAAGCGCATATTTTCTTCTGTCTTGAGATGGTTGGAGGTGCTTGAAGAGAATAAGATGGAGACATAAAGACTCATTAATCTAGACTTATCTACCTCTCCTGTCAGAGTTTCCCTGTATAGCCTTGGTCATTACACTTAATCTTGTTATGGCTAGTTTTATCTTTCTTAAACAAACAGGTGACTGAATTTACTTTTTCAAGACTGATTCAACACTTAATTTTTATTTTGCTCTTTGGAGAAAAAGCCGTTTGTTAGATGTACCTATAGACTGTAACCCTAGTTGAAAGATGAAAAATTTAATACAACCACTCTGATGGTTACTTTTATTTCTGTATCAGCAACATACCCAGTCTGATACAGCCCTAGTGTTTCAGAGGAACTCAACATGTATGATACAGCTACAAGGTGAGAGTCTGTGAAGGACAGGATGCAAGATATGTCAGTCACAGTTGTGATGGGCCTTGAATACTTCAAAATCTAGTAAGTGTCTGCAGTATAACTGCTACTCAGTATATAAAGGAGAGTAGCAGGGAACTTAATTAGTAAGGTTTTGCCTCACTCCTGTTCTGATGACTTCAAATATTTATTAGTGACAAAAGAGTACCGTGGCTTTGACATGAAATACGACTTCTGTATTCCAAATTCTGTCAAGCTTAGGAAAAACAAACTGAGTGCTATGCATTTTATAACATGCTTATAACAACCCCAACATAAAATTTAATAAAACAGGGCCCCAAGGCCCTTCGATTCATTAAACCAATGGTAAATGTCATGGTGCATTATCACAAGGTAATGAGGTATGATTTACTGTTAATTGCACATCAAAGTCCAATTTGGTTGTACTTCAGTGTACTGCATTTCATTCTCAGGGATATAGAAATAAAAATAGCATTTCAGCATCGAATACAACAAATGCTGTAAACTACTAAGATGATTGTTTAGTGAAAGCTTTTGTATGTGTGTTAAATCCATACTCCTAGAGAAATTAGTTATTTAAAAGTTGGGGAAAAGTCTTGTCTTTTAAACTTAGGCTTCTTAGTAGTTTCGTGTCGCATTTGTTGCTGCCAGATGGAATTTGCAGCCTAAAGGCCTTGTATCAGCGAAGCTCTACAGACCAGCTGCTTCGAAGGGAAACGGCCTTGTAGCAGATGCAGGGGCTCAGAACAGATCTTTGTCTATCCCTATGGAGTGTTTCCTATCTTAACTATATAAGAAGCAGCTTCCCAAACCAGACCTATCCAATTTGTTGGGCTTGAAAAAACAGGTTTTTATGAGTTTTCAATCCACACCCTTCTGGTTGTGTGGTCTGTGGACCTGATTCTTGGTCTTCCTGGGGTATTTAGCATTTTAGGAAGAGGAAAAATAATCAGTAGCAAAAATGTTAAAAAGTTCTGGCCCCTTTCAGGCCTCCAGAAGAGCAAGATGGACCCCTTTATATGGCTGTTCTTTTTCAATTATCATCCTGTTTCTAGGAGCCTTACTATCTCTCGACATGTGCTACATATGCCTCTTTCGTTTAGGGTCACCAATGAACTAGTTTTGCTCATCTGTTTTTCCTTGCTTCCTGGGTCAGGCTTATTCAGGCAAACAAATGCTTGTAGGATTCTCTCTTACCATATGCAGCCAAGTTCTGTAATTGTAATAAGTACATGCATTTTGAAAGATTTAGTCAGAAAGAATTCCTTCATATTCTCTCCCATCTAAGCATTATTGGTCCAAAATCTTTTGCTACCACTGTGTGGTTTTTGTACAGCACTTGGTACTTGTACTTCAAAAAGAGAATAAACTGCTACTTCTAGAGCACTGTAATTGTTACAGCAAAAAAAAGATGGGTACCCACAGCCAAGCATAATCACAGCAGAGATCAAACACTGAGGCTGCAGGCAGAGATTTATGTATAAGCTGCTGTGTAGGAGATGGGAGGTAAATGATGCTGTACTATTTCCTGACATAAAAGTTAATGGACCCTATATTTATGTAAGATTTCTTGATGTCAAAACCACAATTTAATTCAGACCTTCACTTCCTCTTCACATGTTTATCTATTCCAGCCCCCAAAGAGATCACCTTTTCCATAGATGTTGGGAATGGCCCCACAGAAGTCACTGTGCAGTCTCCCACACCCCTGAATGACAACCAGTGGCACTACGTCCGAGCAGAGAGGAATCTCAAGCAAACTTCTCTCCAGGTGGACAGCCTCCCCAAGAAGGTCCTGGAGGCACCTGCTGAGGGGCACTTCCGCTTGCAGCTCAACAGCCAATTATTTGTAGGTAGGGACAATGTAAGGGTTTCTCTAGTTATGTACAATATATCTATGTTCATACTTCGGTATTGCTATTGTTTCACCATTGAGCTTGCATGTGGTAACCTAAATTCTCCTTCCTTTTCTTCCGCTCCTGCATAGGAAACATAAAGTAAACCCAAACTACAGCCTTTACACTCAAAGCACTAACCATAGTTTAACTGTACTAGATGGTATTTTTAGGGTCTAAGGTTGCTTGAAACATATTTATTGCCAAAGAATGCATAGTATTTCTTCTTGTGCAGCACTGGCTGTGTAATTTGCTGTAGGAAATGTGATCTCTCGTTTTAGATGCAATGTAAAAAGCACAAATTCTTTATGTAAGTTTCTGGGGCAAAGCCTGATGACAGTATGGTCTTAAAGTCTGGTCCTTCAAGCATGACTACCAAAACCCTTATTTGGCCATAGAGTGCATGTGTGAGAGAACTATGAATACGGTCAAAGCAAATAAGTTATATTAATTGAAAGTGATCTTTCGGTGGGTGGGGGAATAAAAAAAAAAAAAATCTCTGTTTGCATACAGTTTGTTTCCCTATCTCCCTTGCAAATGAAATGTAGATTGGGACCAGCTTGTGTTTGATAATATAATCAGGGATTACAAAGGGACTTCTCCCTTTTCTACATTCAAATGTTGTCTTTCTGAGTAATCCGCTCAGCGATGGAGTGGGTTGTAACCTGCTTCTTATTAGGGCTGCTCAGGTGATCACTGATCCTTTCCTTAAAATGGATTCTCTTAGCTGAAATGCTATAGGAAACCTCAATCTGTCAATTCATTTTAATAAAGTTTACCTATGTGTCTACACCCTTAGATTTAAGATTTTTGGGTATTTGAGCTTTTGACAGTGTATGTGTGCAGTAGTTATTGGGCTCTGAACATAATGAATGAATCTGTTTATAAATAGATATAGCTACGTCAATGGCCAGGTGTCCTTCCCCAATAGCTGTTGATTCACACCTAAAATTATCTCCCATACACTCAGTCAGAGGAAAGTTCACTGCAGGACTTGCAGAAGGGAGGCTTAAGCCTGTCACAGTGTGAGGTTTCTGTTTTCTGGTGTGAAGCATGCTGCTAATCACATATTTCTCAAAAGGCTAAGATGATCCTAGGAACATGTTCTACAGTAGGCCAGGCCTGAAGGCAGTGGGGTTGGGCTGCTAGACACCTTAGAAACATCAGAGAAATCTAGCCAAGGGACTGTTACCAGTTAGAAAACTTTGCGAATTAATGACTGCATAGACTTTTGCAAATTTGTTTTTTTTTTCTTTTTAAAGGAGTAAAGATGGAGGTTTTATCGTAAGTCTATCAGATATGTCATATGCATCAGCTGCTTATCATCTCACATCTAAAAATCAGTATCTGCCTCATAAGCTTGTTTCTCTGCCTCAGCAAAATAAACAGGATACCTTAACGAACTTCATGGTGGTTTTAGTGTGACATAATCAATGAATTGCATCATGCAAATCCATGGTAGTCAAGGTCCTCAACAGAGAAATGTGCCAACAGGAACACTTGTCAGCAAAGACAAATGCAAAGCCCTGCACCTGGAGCAGATAGAGTCCTGCAGCCATACAAGCTGGGGATTGAGCAGATGTGCAGACAATGTCCTGTTGGTCTTGCTGGAAAATGAATCTGTACCTTGTCTGCCTATGAATGTAGCGGTGTTTTAAGGAACAGGCTGGACCAGTCCAGTAGTGACTTCTAACCTAAATTTTTCTCTGATTGTGCTTAATATTTACAGTAAACTCTAGGACATAGTTACTTTATCTCAACCAAGAGGTGAAAGTTTCTCACTTTCAGTAGAGTAAATAGATTAATACTTTCAGTGCAGTAAATAGATTGCATTCAGTTGTCCATCCACACTTTTGCTGGACCCTGGACGAAAGGGACAGAAAACCTAATGTTTTTAGGAGTGCTTTTTCAGCCCTTAGCTCTACCATATTGAAGGCCAAAACTGTCTGTGACTTCCTGAGTTTTCCTAAGAGCAGTCAGAAGAGATGGAAACCTGGGCAGCCTTCTGATTCTGACACAAGTCCAACAAGACACACGTGTGGCATAATTTGTCTCTACTGAACATCTCATCCCAGTCTCTAAAAGGAAGCAACTGATTTAATGCTTCAACCATGCAGAGTGAATTTTATCCCATCTGAAAAATAAATGCATAAACAGCATTGTAAAAAGGAAAGAAGCAGCAGCACATAATGTTACTCCCTACTCACCCTATAATCCACAACTTGTTTCTGCAACATTTTGCATACTGACAGTGATTAAGAGCTTTCCACAATTAGTGTGCACATTCTTAATTAATAATCTATATAACTGGCATATTTGCTATTTTAAAAATGTTCCAAATATTTTTAATTGAATTTCCCTATTTCACTCCATTTAAATATGGAACTTTCCACACTGGAGGTAGCTAGTCATTAAGATATAAACTTTTTTCCCCCTTGATTCTTCTCCAGAATTAATTCAAATATTTTGTAAATCTCATAAATAAGGCTCAATGTCAAAATTTAATTTAGTTTATTTATCTTCTGGAAGGATTTATTGATCCTTTGGGATGAAGAAACTATATTAGTATCATGTAGCATTATGATGATGTTTGAATGGAGACCCACTGCAGCTTTCAAACTACTATTATTTTCCTGTTGCTTGAGAGACGTCAGCCTATGTACAGTATATGTGAGGCAGTTCTAGACCTCCCCAGGAGGAAAGGTCTTTTTCTTTAGGGAGTTATATACAGCAGATCACACATCTGAAATAAGTTTGGACATTTGTAAAATTTGACTACAGGGGCAGTTGGCATATAACATAATTTTAAAGGAATTCTGCTAACAGACCAATTTATTCTTTGTCAACTGTTTCTGCCTGTTTTATGAGTTATTTACTTCAGTTTTGGCCAGATTTTTCCTTCTTAACCCAAGAATCAGATATATTTGGGGCTGTAAGCAATAGAATAATTTAGCTCTTGGGTTTATATATTGGTTAGTTGGTTTTTTTTAAAAAGTTGGCCTGTCAAACAGACTTTTTACTTTCTGTGATTTATAGTGAAGAAAGTTAAACAAGAAGCCTTCTCCAGCAATGGCAACAAAACAGTCAGTTGTAGGCAGTTGTGGAGCTGTGCTTCATTTACTTCTGATCCAGTGATACTGACACGTTCTGAGGAAGTTAATCAGCCTTTAAATACTTCTTAAGGATGGGAGTTAAGAAGGCCTGACTTTCCTTGGAAGTTTATCTTCAGATTGACTGACTTAGGTATTTTAGGAGACTTAGGCTTTTGCTGAAGGTTTTCCAATGACTAAGCACAGAGAAGGATTTCTCTTTTATGTGTATGGGTTCTTTTATACCTAGCAAGGGAAGAATTCACACTTCAGTCTTATTGAGTGGAGACCTTGACACTGTTTCTCTCTTATTTACCCTACTACCAGTTTTCTTGAAATATGGGAGAACATAATATCGTCTCTCTTAAATTTGGGCAAGGAATTTAAAAAGACTGGATTCAGAGAAGGAAATACACCACATATGTGAGCAAATATTCTGTTCCATAAGAAATCAAACAAAAAAACCCCACAAATCGCAACAACTGTCTAGTCCTTTTAGACGGACAAAAGACTGATTGTGAACTAATGCAAAGCTGTGTGCTGAAGACTGTGACAAAAGTGAACTTGAGTTGTCTCAGAGGGATACTAACTGATATACAATGACAGTAAGTTCAGTGTTTGGATGTTGTGGTTACATATTCCAGCAGAGAAATCCAGATATTCAGACACTATAGCAGAATCTGGGAGTCTCACCATGACTTACATTGCCTCTATGCTAATTTTGAGTTGTGCATGTTCCTGGACTTAAGCCTGTCTGTGTCATTGGTAGGGTAAAAATCAATTTTCATGTGTACTATGTACTTAGGTGTAACCATGGGTTACTTAAATGGCATTTCTGTGGAGTATCTCTGAATGTTAGACACGTCTTACTGGGCTTGAACTCACATTACATTGTTTGGATTAACACTACTATCGGCTAGAAAGGTTCTTCACTCACTTCTGGCCTTAATAAGCATAAAGTAGCCATAATTCATTATCTGCACACTAATGCACCCACAAATACTTCCATTTTGCAGCTGGTACAACATTGCAGGTAGAGAAGCTCACACAAGTTTTACATAACCAGGAAAGATGCACTCACATAGTGATTTCTGTTTACTCCGAAGTCTCTTTTATACATCAGTATTGTATAAGAGGCATTGATAGAGTTAAGAATCAGCTCCTTCTTCCCTATGCTCATACTCATATAGAATACTCATACTATTCATTGTATTTACAGAAATGCTGGAATTTGGGTGTCATTGCTTTCCATACCACTTGTTCTCCATTCAGTTCTGCCTTGCCACCTTTCACTGCCCTGTTTTGTGTTTGATTCAGTGGTCTTTGCTGTTCTTGCATCTTGCTGACATGATGTCTGCCCTCCATGTCTGTCTTTGGGGGGATGTTACCCTTGGGGGAGCAGACCCAAGCCTTTGCTCTGGCCAGCATGCTACACAGCATGTGCAAGAAATTATTGCCTGATGTTCCCTAGGTTCCACTGCAGTGATGCATTCTTACACATGACATTCAAAATAAACTATAGAAAATGTCTACCTTCTTATTGGATCTGCCTGGAGGTAAAACCAGAGGAAGGGAGACAAAATGGAGGTGTTCAAATCCAATCCCTCTCTTTTTATCTCCTCTTCCATAGCAACACAATGTGACAGAATTCAGATTGGCAATTCTTGTTCTATTCCATCACTTCCTATAAATATCTGACTGAGAGTTACGACTTCTCTCTGTTACAAAGAAACAGTTATGCACAGTCAGTAAGAGACAAAAGTGTTAATTAAATAATGTTTGTATGATTAGCTGTTGTGTTTAATCTGTAATTGACTCACATGGCCCTTTGAATTTATGTATGTAGTACCAGAGAGAGTTTTGCTATGGCTACACTTGTTGCAATTAGAATAATTAAGACAGAAAGACTGCTTAAGGCCAACGTTGGCACACATGTAGTATGTGGCAGGCTTCCGAGATAGCTTCCTGTGTGTGCAAAGTGGAAGGGAGGAATGACTTTTCATTACCAGTACACTCAAAATCAAGCAAGCTTGGAAAGTGAACCGTTTTTCACTTTCTTTTAGTGGGTCTTGGGTATCTAACTGGTTTAGGTTGCTTTATAATCTTCAGTGAGGAATCCTTGGGTGAATCCCCTCTGTCTGCTGTAGACAGTCCAATGCAACATACCCTAGAGAGGGTCAACATCTGAGAAACTTCCTTGGGAGACAGAGAAAAGGAAGGTGAGAAAAAGAAGGTGTGTACTTCGTTTACTGTTGTTTTTAAAGGAATCTGCAGACACTTTGGGATATTTTGGAGGCCAGGAGGAAAAATTAATGCTTAACTTGTTGTGTAAGCTGACTGCTTTCTACAACTTTCAGTTTGAGACTAACAAGTGTGACTTCTATGTCTTCTGAGGATTATCACAGCTAGTTGTCCTACTCCTGAGTAATAATAATTACGATTCTTATACTCACATGCCCTTTCCTTTTCCTTGTATCAGTTATGTAAAGCAAGAAATTTCCTAATACTTATCCACGCTGCTTCAGCCTCCCTAATCCAGTTCTTACCAACAAAAAGTCCTTTGCTTTTTAAAGCAAATCCTCAATTAATTGATAGAGTGTTAATGATTTAGCCAACTGTGTCACCAAGCTACACTATGAGTGCTCACTTGTGAACTTCTTGCCCCCTCCCCTCAGACTCTCTTCCTTACCCCAAGGCTTCTCAGTAAAATTCAGATGCATAAATGTCTTGCTGAAAGCAACATGGCTCATTTGATTGTCACATCCACTCAAGCCAACATTAAAACCCTTAACCTTGGTGTTTATGGTCATGAGGCTTATCCTAAAATCTGTTTTCCTAAACAAAATACTTAGGTCGCATCCATGAAATTGTCCTGTCCAACAGGCCTATTAAGAGTAGGAAGAAACTGCAAAGCCTAACTTGGGGAAGAGATTTGTTTGTTGGTTTGTTTTCAGTTTTTCTCTGCTTCCCAGGAATGTATTTGAAAATTAGATCAGTCAATTGAAGAAAACTGCCCAAATAATAAACAGATTTGCTTAATCAATATTGTGTGGATCTAGGATCATATAGATGGTCTCTGTTAAGCTCTATACTCTCCAGATATTAGAAGAGTGAGAAACTTATTTTACATGGCTTTCCAAAGTGCTTTAGAGAGCAATAAGAATACGGGTGGTGCAATAAACATGACATCTGTGCAATAGTTAGCAATAGTTCATACTCATTCTTTAAATGTTACAGCTGGGATTTGTATGTGTGCAGAGAGAAGAGGCAAGGAAACTGTCCTTTATCCTTGTAATATTTGTGGTTACCTCCCATGTAAAAGAAAAGACAGTAACCAGTAACCTTAAAGGGAGAAATCACATTTCTACGTATTTGGACATTACTGAAAAATCTGTATGGTATGTTTGGTTTTGGAGCAAAATCTCTAAAGAAAAGGTTTGTGTGTGCACAGTGCAGCAAATGAAGAAGGCTCAATTCTTGTGCTCAGCAGGCCTTTAAAATAAGTGAGCTAACATTTGCTCATCTGAAAAGAGTATTGGGCTAAAGAGGAATTTGAACCTATTTGTTTTTCTGAGAAAGTCATCATAAAATCTGCATGAAATACACCTGTCTTGCATATACTCTCCTATAGCTCAATTATTCTAATTCAAATTCAGTATTTCTGCTATTAGTGTACCAGAAAGAAAAATATGCTAGACTGGTATAGCAGAACAATAGCGTTTTGGTGAGATTGCTTTTCAGACCATTGCTTCATTCTCTTAGCTTGCAGAAGTCTTGCTTTAATTAAACAATTTACAAAAAAAATATGCTCTTCTGCAAGGACTTATCAAAAGATGTAATCTCTTATCTCATGCACTTTGATATAGAACCAACTTCTATTTGGAAAGATAACTTCTTTCATACTACTTTTGAAGGAGAATCACTAATAAAGCTAGCATTTCAGAGCCTACAAATGCTGTTAAATCCTGAACCAGAATTAGATTTCTTAGTAGCAATCAAAATTGCATATCTTCAAAAGCAAAGCATTGGCAACTGCCAAACACAGCATACAATAAGAAAAATTGTGATATTTTCACAAAGAACTCTAACTGTCATCACTTCTATAATTCTGAGAGACCACCTCTTACGGAAAAGTGTCTTCATTATAAAACTGTTAGCAATTTCATTGGGCAGATAAAAAGCTGGTTAGCTTGTAGAAACTGCACTCGTGTGTGGATCCATAGACCTCTGGTCTTCAGGAGGAAAGGCAATTACGTTTAACTAGTGTAATAAATAACTCAGCTGTGACCTGAACTCATGTTTCTTGCCTACAACAACAATTCACATGCAACATCAGGTTGGGCAGTCATGCATAAATTCTGACTTAGGTCATTTCCCTTCAGCCAGCATGCCCGGTGATGAACATGATTCATCCCTGCTATCTGGACTCATCAGCATGTGTAACTCACCTGCTGTTAGGATTAGGGTATTATTTATACTCTGTACTATGGCAACAAATAGGAAAAAAAAAAATTTAGGTTTGGGTTTCTCATGTATTAGGTGATATGCAACATATGATAAAGAAGCTAATCTTTTTCCCAAATGAATTTGCAGTTTAAATGCCAGACAGGGCAGTAGATAAGGCAGGAAAGAGAAGAATGGCAACAAGAAAGTGTCACATAGAGCTTTTTAGTCCTTTCAAAAAGATAAATAGAGATCTTTCGTTTCCGGGGCTGTCTCTCTGTCATCTTTTGCCACTGTATCCATTGATATATAATAGATAATATTTTTTAAAATTCATGGATTCATATTTGTACCTCTGGATTGGACTTCAGGGCTTTCATTACTGTGTAGACTCAACAATGAATGCATGTCCTTTTTTCTCTTTTTTTTCAGGGGGAACAGCTTCCAGACAAAAGGGCTTTTTGGGATGCATTCGATCTCTACATTTAAATGGACAGAAACTTGACCTTGAAGAGAGAGCTAAAATGACAGCTGGTGTTAAACCTGGATGTCCAGGACATTGCAGCAGTTATGGTAACCTGTGCCATAATGGAGGAAAATGTGTGGAGAAATATAATGGTTACTCCTGTGATTGTACCAACTCAGCCTATGAAGGACCTTTCTGCAAGGAAGGTAGGCAGCCAGCTTTGATCCTAAGCCCTTAGGTGGTCTCTGAATTACAGCACAGTTTCACCCACGTCAGCTTGGTGTCCCCCACGTTACAAGAAGACATTCTAATATCAGCTGTCCCTTCAGCATTACTAAGTGTTTACATTAAGCAGGCTATAACACCTCCTTTTGTTGACTTCAGTGATGGCCTCAGAAATTAAAATGGTGTTAGCTGTACTATTAAAGTTGCCAGCTATATCCCACTATGATTCCTGTATTTGATTGCATATAACTTGGACCAGACACTAACAAATAGGGATGAAATTTTTCATAACAGTTGTCTGACCATGTGTGAATGTTTAGTTTGCTTGTTTTTAAATCTCATGTAACTTTGTTCACCTTAACAAAATTTTGAGAGCTTTTCTTTTACAGAGTTTTGGAGCAATGATGTGATAAAAAGAGGTGGTCTTTTTATGGTTTGTTTTTTTTTGCCATTCCTGTGACAACACATCCAAACATTAAGAGATTTTAAAAATAAGCATGAAGCATTCAGGAGAAAACTGATTTGCATGGTGCAGTCTCTGGTGAATGTGTCCTCACTGAAACTTTCTGGTGGCTCATAGGTGTTGCCAACACCAGAAAAAGGACAAATAAAGAACATCCAATTTAGATAGCATGCTCTCTGGAAGATGAAAGAACTAGCAAAACTCCTGCTCAATAACAGCAAGGTGCAATACGAGTGTTTTAATTTCCACGGCTGCCCCTCACCTCCCAAACGCATCAGGTTTGCTAAGTGGGCCGCATCATCTGCTGGTGTAAATCGGCTTAGTTGTACCGCAGTCCAAGGAACTATGCCCACTTACATGAGCTGAGGATTTGGCACCGATGCCACGAGAGGCGTATCAAATACCCCCACAGTGTCCTGTTAAGGAGATGCTGCTGTAGCGCCGGAGCTGCTTTATTGGAGAAAGTACTTGCAGTCAGTCTGTAGCTGAAGATATCACCATCCTGACTTTACTGTGCCTCACATTATTAAAAAACCTGCTGTCACCACATCTGTGTAGTTCATGGCCACACTATGTTGTGTTTATTGAAAACACATGCGTGACTTCTCGGGATCTGAGCATGCACAGGTAGATATTTCTCTTTTTTTGGAGCTACAAGGACAGCTTCCCTTACTGGCTGTCTTTGGGTCAGTGTGTTGCTTTAATAATTACTTTGTTTAAAAAGGAGACTGGAAAGGACAAGTATATTGTCTTTAATGTGGAGGAAAGACAGAGAATGTTGCCTTACATGTCAGCGGTTAGAAGATGGTGAACCAAGAATTTATTTGGCTGACAGACATTTTGGCCTGTTCCATCTTGTGGAGCTTTGATTCCAGCACTAAAATAATTGGATCTAGAGGCCTGTCTCCATACACTGTCCTCTGTGCCAGACAAATAGACTGTAAAGAAGGACACACTGCTTGTTCAAATTAAGGAATGGTGACATCAGGTGGGTCAGGGACATTTTGCAGTGTTCTGCTTCTGAGGCAGTCAGCTCATGTCCATGCCTGTCTGGGAGATCTGAAAATGCAGAAGCTGAAATTATTCCCTTGGTTTATATATGCTTTCAGAGGTTTCTGCGTTATTTGAAGCCGGCACTTCCATCACCTATATTTTCCAAGAACCTTATCCTGTCACAAAAAATGCAAGCACCTCAAGCTCTGCCATTTATGCAGATGCTGTCATGTCCAAGGAAAATATTGCATTTAGCTTTCTTACGGCACATACTCCAAGCCTTCTACTGTACGTCAATACCTACTTTCATGAATATTTGGCTGTGATTCTCTCCAAGAATGGTAAGTACTCTTGATTTGCTACCAAAGCGTAACTGTGTTAAGTTTTTTTGTGAGAATAGTATAGAATACTGCACTGATTTAAGTTCATTTCTGTGTCTGCAACTTTATCAACTTCATGGTATTCAGTTCATGCAGATGGTCATCACTCTTGTTTATGTCCCTTTATTTGGCATTCAGTGCTACACTTGCCTATTCAGTGTGTGAATAATCATGTTGTTGGGGCTTAAAATGTGTTTTGACTTTCATTTGGCAAGACTGTACGATAGCAATTCCTTGCTATTTATTCCACACTGAGATCCATTAGGCCTTCAAGATAAGGGAATGAGAAATACCATGAATGTACAAGAACACTTGGTGCAGAAATATATTATCATTTTATCTTTCACATCCTGTCTTGGCACATCTATTGCTCTTCACTGGGTTCTTTCAATGGAATATGGCCAGTTCGTTGGAATATTAAAGCCAGAAAATGTCAAAGTTTTTTAGGTTCACTGACCAAAACATGAGGTGTAAATCCATTTTCTGTTAAAAGGTACATGGTGTGGGAACTTTTTGAAAACATGTAAAGATTTTAGGGCCATAGGCCCTAAGTCTTCTCAATAAGACTCTGGCTCCTGAGTCCTTGCAGGGCTCTCAGAAAACTCACTCCAGACAATCATCATCCCAGACAAATGGGAATGTTTGAATTATTCAAGAGTTATTCAGGCACTGGAGCACTGGAAGTGATGAGTAAGCATATTGGTGAGTCACTAGCCTGTGGCAGAACGATAGAAAGTTAATGCTATGTGGTCGAATATGTGCATTTGACCAAATGACCCAGACCACTCTGAAGCCTTGAAAATTCCAAAATAGCTAAGCTTTCAATAGCTATAGTTTCAAATGAATCTATAAGGAAAAAAAAAAAGAAAAAGATTTTGTTCTCTATACGGGCTTTGCAGTAGTTTATCTCCTGGTTATGTCATGCAGCTAGCATTTGGGCTGGCATGGGATGAGTATCCAACCCCCTGGGAGGGGCTGCTGGGACGGTATCAGCCTGACCCATCTCCCCTAAGCAAAGTCACAGCAGGGTGGTGGGACTACAGAGGAAACCCTCTTACCTCTCCTGTCCAGTCCCAGATTTGCATCTCTAATTTGCTCTCAGAGGTAAGTGTTTATGATTTTCAGATATATGAATATTCCAGTGTGTAGCTCCAGGGTGGCAGAGGTTAGCCCCTGCTGAGGTGAAACCTTGTAATCTGTTTCTCAGTTACACTCAGGTCTCTTGATGCCACTCAGGCAATCGAAAATAGCCCTAAAGTGAATGAAAATGTAATATCTATTTAAATCTCCTTTACTGCTGCCAGAGTGGTGTAAAATGACCTTAGAAACATAAGTCAATTGACTTTTATTGATGAAATACAACCATAAGTGAGCTATAATTGTGAAGTTCTGGAAGGGGGGACTCTACTGGTGGTTGGGGAATGGGTTGGGATCAGGACATTGGGATTTCTTGTAGAATCTCAGCAGGAGCAGAGATAAGTCTTGTATTTTGGTAGCTGCACCATCTGCAGATCTCTGCTTTGGTTCAGACAGAGATAGGGACTCTCTGTATTTCTGGAAATTAGGTGGAGCAGCTCTCAGTACACTCAGGCAATGTAAACAATCGTGCTTTCTCAGCTCTGTACCTCTATTTCCTGTCTTGTAAAATGAAGATAACAGTAGTTTAGAGGGTTGATGAGATGTCAGGCTCCAAATCTCTGGACTATAAAATGTAGCACTATATGCAAAGAATTATTAAGATAACTAGCTGACCTTGGTTAACTCCTGAAAGTCCCTTACAGGGTTACTCTGTGCATGCTTCAATGTCATTCTTTCAAGACAGTCAATTCAGTCATGTATGTTCTCTGCCTTTTGTCCCAAATGTAGTGTTTTTTTTAAAATTTCATGTCCTCTTATTTTTTCATCTTGTTGGAATTGAAATTATTCCAATGAAAATAATGTTCAGATATGTTACTCTTTCTTCCTCCAAGAAGTTTATTCTTGCCATAAAATTACTGGACTATGAATAACAATGTCCTTTGTAGTATTAAAAGTGAGCGTGATGGCTTCTCTTATTGGCTTATTTTCAAGGAACCTTGCCGAGTCTGACAGTGTATAGTAGGACCTAAGCAGGTCCCTGCTGGATAACTGATTGTTTAAATAAAGGTTAGGCTCCTGGTGAAATGTGAATGGGCATTCTCACTTAAGAGGTGAGCAGTAATATTCTTTCCCATAATCCCCAAACCCTTTCCACTTGTTAAGAAACTATATTGGAACAGTCTATATATACTTTAATACTTCACCTTTTGTAAGTATTTTTCAAGCTACTACTCATGAATCCTGTTATTCCTCTTTTCTATTATGCACAAAATAACTAGGCAAATTATTAGTTAATAAAAGTGACAATGAGAAGAATGTTTCTGGTAATTCAGGCTTCCCATGTTAAATATTTAACATAAAAGAAGTGAAAGTGTCTGCAAGGTTTATTCATAGTTAGACTATATTAAACGGGGCTTATATGAAAATGAACTTGTATGGGCAGCTATGGTCTAATCCAGTCAAGTGTGAAATGTTTCCTGTAAAATCAATTGGTTTTGGTACAATTAATAAATAATTACATTTAACCCTAACACATCTTGCACTGTCAGTCTATAAAGAAGGTCATCTTATTAGAAGATACAGTACATATTGATTGAGACACTAGAATTGTGATAGTAAAATGATTCATTTAAAGTTACCCAACAGGCCAATGTCAGGTCTGGAAGAGGAAATAAAATCTCCTCATGCCCACTCTGGCTTCACCCATCCAGATCAATGCTGCCCACACAGAAAGCCCTTTCAGTGCTTGGAGCCTTAGAGGGCAGGTGGATCATGGAGGTAAAGTTATGGCGGATGTTTGGTACTACCACGTCAATGTAGAAGCTACAATTCTAGACCTGTGCAGATTACCTCCTCCTGTAAAACAAGATGCTCAGTAGTGCCCAGCAGCTAATATTTCTAGAAACAGTTCCCACCCAGAGAACTTATCTATATCATAAGGTTGTACTTACCTCTGATTGGCTCATGTCCTGGCAGCTTATGGGTAAGTTTTTGAAACTTGATGGTTTTAAAGATGACTTAGGGATTCTTTCCACCATTAGTTAATATTTACGCTTCTAAATCATACATGTACCTTTGAAAACTCTATGCAACAACTTAGCATTGTCATCTTCTCCCCATCTTACATATTGTACCCATGGATTTTTAAATTACACATATATAGTTGTGTATGTATTTTATACAGATGGGTACGTATACATGTATACAGATGTGTATCTATGTAAAGCTCACATAGACACATTGATCCCACATCCAAATGATTGTCAGTACTGTAATAATTGGCAGTGCATTTTTAATATCCGTGCTGAGGAAATTTCAAATTATAATGCCCATTACTAAGCTATGGAAAATTCACATCATGGGAAGCTACTGCTAAGAGAAAAACAGTTTTTTCTTTCGCAGGCTAAATTTTCACTGTACATTTTTGCATTTATATGATTTCACCAAGTTACCAGTACATAAGTATTATTATCTTTGCTTTGATCCCTGAAGACAATAATTGATGGGGGAGAAAAATGCTAACAAAGAAAATGTTAGTGCTTCTCCTTTCTCCATTCTTCCTTCCCCCCGCAAGTAATCAAATGTGATATGAATATGATGAAGTATATTGTCTAGAAAAAGTTTTCCCAAGTCTTTGATTCTCGGTGTTGTCGGCTTTCTCCATGGAAACAATATGATTCCTAATCTAGAAAAATAGCAGATAGCCAGCATCAAGGAGAAGAGATAGAATCTCAAACTATCCTAGAATGATTGAAAATTTATCTGTATTTATTATCTGATCTCATAAGAAACTAAACAATTTGAGTAGGTTTTTTTTTTTCTTTGTTTCTATCCAGTACCTATTGCCATCATAGTGAGCTCTGTTCTCAATTTCTTTTGGAAAGCAGGACTCTGAAATTGCATAGGAAAGATTAGAGAGAAGGAAAAAGGCACAGTTAAAAACAAAAGTACAAATGAAAACAGCTTGAGTAATTCTTCTGTTAGGTTTCTGATACTCAGAATATAGTAACAGGACCTAGATCAACTCCACTGTCCTGTTCTTTAAGTTCTTGAAAGCAGATGATATTTGAAGTAAATATGAAAAGAAACCAAACCTGTAATAGAAGTGAGCTGAATTAACACTCTGCAAAAAAGCAGCAAATGTCATCAGTGATAAGCTACTGATTTTTTTCATTTTAATAAACTAGAAATCTACTGTAATCTCCTCCTGTCTCTAAGTCAGAAGCAGCCTTTCTGTTGAAGGCGTGTAAATTTTCATTGCTTTTGCCTTGCATGTCTGTTGAGCTGCACCTCCAACAACTTTTCTGAAGCAAAACCAAAGCTTTTATCATTCAGTGGTAAAGAAAGGCAAAAAATCAAGTTCAGTCTTTGAGGCAAAGAATCTTTTGATTCTGTTCATGTGCACTCTGGAGTTCAGTGGGGCAAAGCTACAATAATTAGGGAAAATAGGACTTACTGAAGCACTGGGGTGGGTTTGGGGGGTGATTTTGCTGATTCTTTCGCTTTACCACCTTGTGGGTTTACCTTTTGAGAACACCTTCTGGCTTACAGACTTTCAACATCCTTTGAACAACCTGCAAAATTTATGTGACTGAAGTGGAAAATGGTGGCACGGTTCAGGTATAGTTATTTTTAACAGATCAGGAGCAGGAAAGTGAGTTGTATTGGGAAGTGTGGGAGACAGCTTTGTTGTGGCAACTAGTTTTCAAGCAACTGTCTGTCAGTGACTTAAGAATTGTTCCCAGACTAGCTCTGGTTCACAGCCATTAAATGATTTCATGTGGCAGATATAGGACTATATATCTCCTAAATATAACTTCAAGCAATTTTGTAGTTGGCCCTGAAATCTTCTGTTATTTGCTGAGTGAGAGGCCAGTAAGAGT